TTGACAAGTGTTTGTTTTTCAAGCTCAGTGAATATAAGATATGAAGAGAGACAGTGAGGAAGAGATGGAGTGGGAGAAATAGCTGCCAGACAGAATAGCAATAAAGTCATAAATGCTGCTGCTCGAGGCCCCAAAACCATCAGCGGTATTCTCTGCAGGTCTCTTGCTTTATTGTTAAATATATAACCCCATTTCTTTACCTTCACAACACAAATACCGACTTGACCGCTCATCTTTTGGCTTGTTGTCCATCTAACCGACCACCTCGCCAATGCATCGCTTGCTGATGTTAAAGTGAGTTTGCATTTCAAATCAAAGCTTCTGTTAAGCCGTGATGTTTTAGTGTTATTGTCATATGTATGGCTATGGCAATACTTGTTGTTTTTCTGCATTTCTGCACTATGTGTAATTGCAGTAATATTAAAAAAAATCCATTTTAGACTCACTTCACAGGTGAATTGATTTTGATAATGAGTTTAACAGTAAGAGCATTTTATGAGATATTTCACAAATTGGCAGATATTCATTTGTTTCCTTACTGTAAAGCCTCTTATTTGACCTGCCTTATGATTCAAAACATTTACATAATTGTGATTTCTTTTCTTCACAAAACCCCACCTGAAAAACTGTAGTTGGCATTACAATGCATTTTAAACTGTTATTCTTGACATTTCTAATGCAGGCTATGATAGATTGAACTGCATGCTTCCACTCTGGTAGTTCTGTGTGATTTACAGGAACAAATGCAACATGTTTCTATGTCAAACTCTAAAGGGAAGTGAAACCAAAGAACGCCTGTTCACCTATCAGAGCAGATGTTCGTCTAAACTTGTCACTTGCAACGTCAGCTTCTTTCAAAATGCACATATTAAAGGGCAAGCGTTTGATCATTTATTGCCTGTTCAGTATCATTTTGACCTGACGCCGTGGAGTCAGCTAAACTCGAGAAATACAGTTTGTTCACTCGATTTGACTATTAACAGATGACTGAACTCCTGTGGGACTTCTCTCTGAACAAGGAAGGGGACACATTTAGCAAAGAATTTTGAGCACACTTCATTTAATGTACTCTGGAGAATTTGTATGCAATGATATGTGGCTTTTCTGCATCAGTTTATGTCAAAAATGTCTTTATTTATGTAAAAGAAACGACAGAATCCAGACAAAATGCATTTTTAGAAACTCTAAGTCAAAGCTCTCAACTAACCTGCGCCGAGGCTGCAGGGGGACTTCCCATGATGCACTAAGCACTTCTCCTCTCTTTTCTTATTTGTCACTCTCCACACATTTATATACCACTGCTTGTGACTAACTGTGCATCCTCTCTCTGCTGTAGTTTGTGTTTCATCCTCTCTGCCTGTATCTCTGGTTATTGACCTCTATGCGTTGTTCTCTGTTATCCTTTTCCCTTTCCTCTGTAAGGCCAATTCATGCTTTAAACATCCACAAGCCGAGGCAAGAGTCTGAGTCATGTACATTTTTTCCATCTGCGAGGGCCCACATGGACGTTTCTACCGAACTGACTGCTCATGTGTGAGGAAATCAAATGGGGCTTAAAAGAAATGTTTGTTATGAGAAGATGCTGTGGGATCTTCGGTGAGTATCTTTACAAGTTATCATCAACAGAGATTGAAGTAGTCGCTGCTTGACTTGGGAGGAGCTTTGATCTGTTCATCTTTTGCATCAACAGTGTTGAACACAGTGAGGACTGTTTAGTTCTCCACCTATCCTGTGCTGTGCCAGCCCACTGTGCTCACATACCTCAGGAATGATTGGTGGCGTGGTGCTACAGCCCAATCTGTAACTAGCTGCTATATTCTGTATAAAGTCACAGCCTTTGAGGAACATCAACTGTGTGCTGTGTGGTTTTCTGTGTTTGACATGAAGGGCAGCAGAGCCATGTGGACCTATCATGGTATGAATAGAACCATGTGCTGTCTGTTATCTGTTCTCAAAGTTTGCAGAAACCATGAACTGGCCTTCACCCTCACCCCAACCAGTGGAGGCAGATGTCTTCCCTCTCTGAACCAGGCTCTGTCAGGAGGGTTTTCTCCTGTTTAAAGGCTTTTTCTCTCTCTTGCCGTCACCAAAGTGCTGCTCAAAGGGACCTGTTTGAATTTATTGGATTTTCTGCTTTCTGTTTCTGCAGACTAATGCAGCTTTGAAAGATGAGAGCGGACGCGCGAGCGGTTCTGTTCGTACTACAATAGATACGTTTCAGTCCGGCAGCAGCTACTTCAGTTACAGCTCTTTGAATGAGGAATTATAAAGATGTGGATGACTTCTCACACATTTTCCTCATACCAAGCCTTTCCTTAAAGCACCGCTGCTTTTCCTTGTACATGCACAGTAGGCGTGCTTGCAGTGTGGACAGTCCGTGTGGTGGCAAATGTTGGGTTGCATGCAGAAGTTTGGATAGGGGGACCCTTGCAGGATAATACAAAATGTACATCTCACACACCCGTACAAGCGCAATAGGCCTTAACCCTAGAACACTAATGCCGGGTGATTTTCACCTGCACGATTTTTGTTATGTGATTTTCATTGTGTTGCTGCTGTCTGAGTTGCATGGGTCCTTGGGTAGCTTCAGGCTGCTCATTGATGTCATTAATGGTATGTTTGTTTCCCTCCTCCCATCTGTGGTTTTTTCAAGAGGCATGTGTTCGGGTGATTTTCACCCGGCGTGGTAACATATTTTATGGGTGGAATTTACCCAGTGTTAGTGTTTGTGTGTTGAAATCAGATCCTCTTTGCACTTTTTAAGGGAAACAACATTCAGGCCACATCCTCTGCCCCATTTCATCCACAGCTGTCATCCTGTCACAGGCTTAGTTTCTCTGCAATGCTAACAAGTGATTAACATGTAGCTAGTGTTCATTTACATCTGCAATCATTAGCTACGCAGATTTATTTATTTTTTCTACTAAAGCTAAGCTTTTAGCTAGCTAGCTAGCTACAAGTGAAGTTGTAGCACTCAGAGAGAGGAAAAAAAGAAATGTCCAGAAAATCAGTGAAATTCCTGACTGAGCACACTAACGTTAAAACACCATCACTAACGCCGGGTATATTTTACCCGATATAATATTCTGGATAAAATATAGTTTGCATCAGTTTATGTAAAAGTACAACACTGTGTGACAAACTGTAGGACTGGGACATGTGAGCCTTGTCTGGTGAAGGCTCAGTTTGGTTCCTGTATGGAGTCTTTCCAAGGAAATTCATGGAGTCAAAAAAATGTGGTAATTTTCCCCCTCTCAAAAAATGCCATTTTTTGTCAATCTCTGCCACAGTTGTCAGTGATGCAGGAAGACTGTACCTTCACCAGACAAGGCTCACATGTCCCAGGAATGGGTGGACCAAAGAACAAGTTCCCAGCTCCATTATTTTTTCTGTTTGGAGATTTCTCGTTAAGGATTACCTGATTTTTCAATAATTTTGCTGCCTTTTTATAGGGTCCCCCATGGTACCTTTTTTTTAAAAAATTTTATGTGATATTGTATATTGGGAAATTAAAGAAGAATACTACAATTTGTCATAGAGTGTTGTACTTTTACATAAATTAATGAAAACTATATTTTATCCAGATGATTATATCGGGTAAAATATACCTGGCGTTAGTGATAGTGTTACTAATTTTAGCGTTAGTGTTCTAGGGTTAAAGGTTCACGTGAAGCACCTTAGAGATGACCTATGTTGAGAATAGGTGCTATATAAAGAAAATGTAATTGAAGGAGCCTATGTTTATAGGCCCACTTTCACGGTTTACAACACATTTATTAATTTCAAACAGGGACTGTAATCTGTAATCAGTTCTGTAATCTGTGACCAGATGTTAAAAGCAAATGACATTCACAACACAAAATACATGAAATTCTAACCTCATCTATAATATTTCATGGTGATAATTACAAAACAGAAAGATGAATTAAAACCTAAATAAAGAAATAAAGACGGACACACTAAATGGAAACAAGATGGCAGCAGGAAGGATGAGGTTGATTATCAGTCAGCTATTTCTTTCAGTGACATCTGAAGGTGTTTCCAGAGCCGCTGCAGGAGCAGGACACTGAACACTGTCAGGGACCCCTCACACCCTCTACATAAAATGTCTGAACTGCTGCCATCAGGAAAACGTTTCCGGTGCATTAAAGGGAGAACCTCCAGACTGATCAACAGCTTCATTCCACAAGCTGTCAGAATGCTGAACTGCTGATCCAGACATACAAACACTTGTTTATATAAATTCAGTTATTGGATCCTGAAGAAACGTTATTTCATCTTGCCTGTACTACTGTGCATGTACAGCAAAATGACAATAAACTTGATTTGATTTAATGTGTACGTGCTCTGCCCTCTGACACCGATGGGCTAAAGCTCCGTTATTGTGCAGCTTTCACTGAAAATATTTAACACACTGACCAAATGACCTCTTTATAGCATTCCCCTTCTTTTTGCACTTGTTGCGATTCACTTACTGTAAATAAAGCGGTGTAGGAGCCATATCGTGTAAAACTGCATACAAGATGCAGATATTTATATATTTGGTTATGGTGGTTGTATTCTGTAGAATCACATAGTGGTGGTTGGGTGGTTTTCTCTCAACAGTGTTGTTAGATAGAGATAATACTCCATGCACAAACATGTTACTTTAAGGTTGCAGGATTGCATTTTTAATTTGGGACTATTAATAAGCTGTAAACTTCCATTGTCTTTGGTTTTTCAGCTTCAGAACCTGTTCACACCTTATCAATAGTTACAGACAAAGACATTCATTTATATGTGTGTTCCGGGTGAAGACAACGAAAGTATTGAATGACTCAGGGCACGTTTTTCCTGATGAGAGGATCTGCTGGGTTTGGTATCTCACTAACAGGATTTCTCGCATTAAATGACAGTTGCGCATTTTTTAAAGCGTTAAAAAAAAAAAGTCACACCTCCACACGAAGCTGTCAACGTGTGTTAAAAACAAGCTGTCACAGTTTCCTTTAACCTCTCGTTTCTTGAGTTGAGATGACTGCAGCCACGGGGGTTTTCATTCAATCAGCTGCAGCTCCGCATGTCCACGACTCCGTGCGCACATTTTCACGCAGATCTTCAGTCACTCACTGATTTTATTCACTCTTACTGCACCTAGAAAAGTCTGATTGATCAAAGCTGTGGTGCCAAATGATAGCTGTTGTTTTTTATTTGTTATTTTTTTATTGTCTGTAATTAGTTTCCTGGACCCCTCCCACTTTCCGGGTTATTTCTCAGATTGCTTCTGTCCTCCCTCCTCGCCGACATTCTGGGAAACAACGCAGGCTGGGGAGTCGCTTCAAGCTGTGCGTCTTTACGCTTTTTTAATCTCCGGATAACGACTACAGCCGGGATCGCTACTACGGTTTGGGTTTCTGTTGTCTCCAGCGGTGCGTAAAAAGTGGAATGTCAAGGAGCATACATGTCCGCTGCTCTTGTTTCTGCTGACATCGGTGAGTTGTTTCTGCATCTAGGAGGGAATTCTTTATTCTAAGCAGCTCGGGATATGAAAAGTTTTGTTTTAATCTGAATTTAAGTTGTGTTTTGTTTTGGTTTTTTTTGCAAACTTTCAGGGTGACTCCGTGTTTCCAGAGCGCTTTGCAGACCGACACCTGCGTATGGAGCCAGGTGAGCCCACTGTGGAATGCTATTTGTCACCTCCACGCTTCTAGGTGGTTTCAGGTCTCCCACCTACTCCTGTTTAACTCTCATGTAAATGCAAATTCACAGTCCCAGCTCCCTCTCCTCCTGTTTTTCTCTCTCCATAGAATGAATACAAGATGTTCACTCCTCAGACTAAGAAGAAAACAGTTCATCCCCTCCCTCCTGACCCTCCTGTCCATCTGCGTCCTGCTGTTGGTCAAGTACAGCTACATCACCGACCTGTTGCTTTTCCCGGCGGCTTCAGATGTTCAGACATTTCACAGGTACAACGTTAACTGCTCTGCTATCTATGACATGGACCCGGTGGAGGTGGGGAAATCTCTCACCATCCGAAGTGAAAAGGTCGTGGAGGACGAAGATGAAAGTCTGGTTAACTACACCTCCAACTGCTCATCGTTCCACCAGTCGAGAGGTTACAATGATGTGTGTGTCTCGAAGGAGGAGAAAAACTTTCCTCTTGCTTATTCTTTAGTTGTGCATAAATCTGCCTGGATGGTGGAGAGACTCATCAGAGCTCTGTACTCGCCCAGTAACATCTACTGCATCCACTATGACCAGAAGTCCTCGGCTCAGTTCATCTCAGCCATGGAGGGTTTGGCCCGCTGTCTGCCCAACGTCTTCATCGCCAGCAAACGGGAGTCCGTCTTCTATGCCAGCATCAGCCGGTTGAAAGCCGATCTAAACTGCTTGTCTGACCTTTCGAGCTCAGAAGTCAAGTGGAAGTACGTCATCAACCTCTGCGGCCAAGATTTCCCGCTCAGGTCCAACATCGAGCTGGTATCCGAGCTAAAGAAGCTAAATGGTGCTAACATGCTGGAAACGAGCCGACCCAGTGAGTCGAAAAAGCAGAGGTTCACCTTTCATCATGAGCTGAAAGACGTCAGCTTTGAGTATCAGAAGCTGCCGGTAAAAACGGAGCGGAAGAAGAGTCCGCCGCCGCACGGCATCGAGGTGTTCTCCGGCAACGCCTACTTCGTGCTGTCGCGGGAGTTTGTTGCGCACTTGAACGCCTCAGTTGTAGTGAAGGATTTCCTGGCCTGGTCAGAGGACACGTACTCCCCAGATGAACACTTCTGGGCCACGCTTGTGCGACTGCCTGGCGTTCCAGGAGAGGTGTCCAGATCGCAGCCGGACATCACCGACCTGATGAGTAGGACCAGGCTGGTGAAGTGGCAGTACCTGGAGGACAAGCTGTACCCGCCGTGCACTGGGCAGCACGTCCGCAGCGTCTGTATTTTCGGTGCAGCCGAAATGCGATGGTTGCTCAACTACGGTCACTGGTTCGCAAATAAGTTTGACCCCAAAGTGGACCCCATTCTCATTCAGTGCCTTGAGGAGAAACTGCAGGAAAAGCAAAAGTTCTTCCAGTCACAGACCTTAAAGACCTGCCCAAAGGGTTGACTGATGATATACTGTAGATCTGACACGGTGTTAACCAGCAACGAGTATGACAGTTGATTGTTCTTTTAAGGTCATTTTTCATATCTGATTGAATTTGCTGCTATTTCTTGTCTTCCATTGTAGTAGATTGACTGACTTTTGGACAGTTAGTCGAACAAACCAAAACATTTGATGATATCTTGAGTTTTAACCCTTTGAACCCTCAAACAGTTTCTGGGCATTTTGTTGCTCCTGTTACATTTTTACTCACTGTGTGTCACATTTTTAACTGCAATATAAAGTCCTGCGCCTCCATGGAAACAGAACAACCATGACTAGAAGGAGAGAGAACTTAAAAATGTCTCCAACACAGTATGACCAAGCTATAGTGCCTTAAATAATATATATATATAAGTCAAATTTCTTGGAATATTTATTTTTACAAAATTTGAACAAACTGGAATCAACATGTAAAACATTTTTCAAAGTGCCCAGAGGTGTGGCCAGGACTGGAAATAAATAGCAGTGTCTCTACATGTTCTAGATATTTATTTATTTATTGTATATTTTCAGAAAATCTCCAAAGTTGTTGTTCACACGACCCTGCACATCAACTCTAAGAGGATATTTCATCAAACTCAATCTATCTTCCCGCAACTTGTTCCTCTGTATACTGTTTTTAGTCATTCTGTTAAGCACTTATTTACTGATCAGATGTTTCATTTTTCTCTGTCTCATTAGTTTATATATCTGTCTCCTCTCTGCTCCATGTAAACACAGCCCCTGCAGTTCAGCCAAATGTTCATAGAATGATTGCCACATTACTGTTTTTCATAGCTGAGTCAGTCATAGCTTCTTAGTTGCACCCACGAACTCTTATTTTTTTTGTACAGAATGTGGTGCAAATGGTTTCAAATGAAATTTTCAATGAGACCTGTTGAATGAATAGATTTTTATGAAATATCACAATTCTAAGCTTAGATTTGGTTCATTTTCTCAACAGGCTTGCACATCATGCATGATTCATTAAGAAAGCCAACCTTTCTTTTTTTTTTTTTTTTGTTGTTGGAGTTTCTGGCTCTGATAAGTGCTTTTAAAACTGCCGGCAAGATTTGGGGTTCAGAGGGTTAAGTGGTGGTGGAGGGCCTTCATCCAAAGGTTTAAATGATTAATCGTTACTTAGAGGCCAACTACACTCATGTCTAGTATCAGACACAGCTGCAACAAATAATTGATTATTTGTTTATTGTTTGACTAAAAAATACATTTATTTTCTGGTTTCTTTCCTCTGACATTTGTTATCTTTGGTTTGGAAAACAGTCATGAACATTTTTTTTTGACATTTTCAGACATTTTATAGACTGAACAGCAGATCAACTGATCAAGAAAATCATTAATCCGCAATAGAAAATGTAATTGTTGCATGTCTAGTGTCAGTTTGGTACGGTAAAATGTCAAGGAGATGGATCAGTTTTGAGCTTTTTCCATCACAAATGCCTGACACCTTAAAGGGCCAGTTCATTTAAACTACTGCACATTCTCACCTACATGTAACAATACAAAGATGTTTTGTGTTTTGTTCAGGGTTTGAAACATTCATCTCCTAAACTTCTGCTCTCACACCAAAATCCAATTGAAATTGTCTTTTTTAAAAAAAAACACTCACCAGCAGCGTGCCTGTCCAGAAGCTGTCTCTGGTACTCAGGATAACCCAGACACCTCACTGTGAACTTTTTACTTCTGTCTACAGAAGAAATCATCCAAAAAAACTGTAATTTACAGCAGAGAGAGTGTGTTTGTGTTTGTAATTTGGCTGAGTGGCGGTTTAATGATGGTAATTAGACTGTAATGAGCACTTACATTAAAGATCCAACATGCGCCGACCTGCTCATCCACATCCTCTCATACTGCGTCTGTGTGTTAATTCACTAATAACTGCAATTTTGCAGAACCCTCTGAAGATATTGACATTATTTGGAGAAAATCCAGAATTCTTCATCAAACCTAATACATGTTTACATGATGCACACTGTGCAGTAGAACAGAATGAATGTTTCTCGGCTCATGACATACGATCTACACAGTCTTGTTTTGTTTTGTTTTTTTCTAATTATGAGACACATTTATATTTAGTTTAATGGACAAATGCAAGAAACTGTTATTTAGAGTCAGTTCGGCTCAGTGCAGTGAACGTTTCCTGTAATTGCGGCCTGGGCAGTTCACTGTGCGCATGGGTACTGGACCTCCTGAGCAACGGACCCCAGAACATCAGGATAGGAGGCCACACATCCTCCAATCTCATCCTAAACACAGGAACACCACAGGTATGTGTCCTCAGCCCCCTCCTCTACTCCCTCTTTACCCACGATTGCACCCCCATTCACACCACCAACACCATCGCACACAGCAGTGAGTCAGCCTACAGGGAGGAGGTCCAGCACTCGGCAGAATGGTGTCTCAGCAACAACCTGGACCTGAACACCAGCAAGACCAAGGAACTGGTTGTGAATTTCAGACAATCCACACGCACGGAGCACTCTGCCCTCTGCATCAACAGAGAGGAGGTGGAAAGGGTGGAGAGCTTCAGGTTTCCCTGGATTGAAGGGTGGGGAGGCCACAACAGAAACTTTACTTTCTCAGGAAGTTAAAGCAGGCTCACCTCCCTCAAGCCCTGTTGGTAAACTTCTCCAGAAGCACCATTGAAAGCTTCCTGGCATACAGTTGTCCTCAAATGTATTCATACCCTTCCATTAAAGAAAAGGCAAATTCACAACAGTCACTCAAGTAAATAGAAACTGAAAAAAGTAACAAGAAATAATAATTTGCTAAATTATAATTTAGTGAAATAAGACATTGCTTTTGAATTGTGGTTGGAAGGAATAATTAAAACAAACAAACAAACAAAAGTGTCCCGGACAAATTAGAGCCCTTTGCTGATGAGCCGTGGGTCAAAATCCAAATACCTGTCAACAGATACAGAAGTCTGATTGAGAGTTACAGAAAACACTTGATTGCAGTGATTGTCTCGAAGAGTTGTTCTACAGAATATTAGATTACGGGTCCCATCATGCTTGTTTGCTTGTTTTTGCTTTTTTGTTTTGTTTCATATTTCTGTTGAACCATTATTCAAAAGCAATGTCATGATTTTAATTATTTTTTAAATTTTATTATTTCTTTTGTCAATTTCAACTCAACTTAACTTCTTTAATGGGAGGGGATGAATACATTTGAGGACGACTGTACTGCTGCACAGTGTGGTTCACCAGCTGCACTGCAGAGGACAGGAGGAACCTGCAGTGGATGGTGAGGGCGGCTGAGAGAATCACTGGGACCACGTTACCCCTCCTAAAAGACATTTACACTGACCGACTTCAGAAGAAGGCCACATTCATTGCAAATGACCCCACTCACCCTGGATACCCCTGTTCTCTGCCCTACCCTCTGGTGAAAGATAACGGACAATGAAGACTGAAACAAACCATCTCAGCTTCTACTCGCAGGCTGTGAGAGCCACTGGATGCTACAACAATATTTCACTGCTTTTTAACATCACTTCCACAGTGACGATAAAGAACTATTCTATTCTCTATATAGCTGCTTCATGGAGCTTCAAAATGTTTTAAGACATTTTTGAGCTTCTTGAAGTGGCATCTGGCTCAAACGCTGAGCAGAGGAAGGAGCAGCACGTGGGCTAATATGTAAAGAAAAGTTTTGTGTGACTAAAGCAAACAGTTGTGCAAGTCAGCAATGCAAACAGTGTGTGAATGCATGTCAGGTGTGCTGTGGAGGTGTTGGACGTACAAAAACAAGAACAGACGATGAATGGAACGCGTCGATCATCTCCACACTCAGGCTGGGCAGAGACGAATGCAAAACAGTGCGAGGAGCATCACCGCGTCTGCTCCGTCTCCCTCGGAAAAATACACAACCTGCACAGAATAGGTCACTTTGTGTCTCGTTTGTGTCATTTTGTGTTTTGTTTCCAACTTTATTTTGTCTCACTTTTCATATATATCTTGCTAATTTTGATCATGTTTGCCATTGTTATTGTTGTATTTGTGTCATTTTATGCTTCATTTGTGTCTTTTGTGTCACACTTTTGTCATTTTGTGTCTCGTGTGTTGTCTATTTCTCAGTCTGTTTTTATTTTGTGATGTTTTGTCACTTTGTGACCCTTTTGTCTCCTTTCTGTCGTTTCCCTTCTGCTGTGTCTCATTGTTGTCAGTTTGTGTGTCATTCTTCTTTTGTGTCTTGTTTGTGTCATGTTGTGTCTCATTTGTGTTGTTTTATGGCTGATTGTTCTTTTGTGTCTAGTTTGTGATGTTTTGCTTGTGTCTCTTTGTGACGGTTTTAGTTTCCTTTTTGTCATTTTGTGTCTTGTTTTTTTCATTTTTGTGTGTTGTTCACAACTTTTTTTGTCTCAATTTTCCTTTAAATTTTGCTAATTTTGCTCATGTTTGTCATTTTTTGGTTTTATTTGTGTCATTTTGTGTCTTGTTTCCAACTTTTTTTTGTCTCACTTTTCATATATATCTTGCTAATTTTGCTCATGTTTGCCATTGTTATTGTCGTATTTGTGTCATTTTGTGTCACACTTTTGTCATTCTGTGTCTCATGTGTGTTGTTTATTTCTCAGTCTGTTTTTATTTTGTGATGTTTTGTCTCTTTGTGACCCTTTTGTGTCCTCTCTGTCGTTTCCCTTCTACTGTGTCTCATTGTTGTCAGTTTGTGTGTCATTCTTCTTTTGTGTCTTGTTTGTGTCATGTTGTGTCTCATTTGTGTTGTTTTATGACTGATTGTTCTTTTGTGTCTAGTTTGTGAGGTTTTGCTTGTGTCTCTGTGACGGTTTTGTCTCCTTTTTGTCATTTTATGTCTTGTTTTTTTCATTTTTGTGTGTTGTTCACAACNGTTGTTCACAACTTTTTTTGTCTCAATTTTCCTTTAAATTTTGCTAATTTTGCTCATGTTTGTCATTTTTTGGTTTTATTTGTGTCATTTTGTGTTGAAATTGTGTCTTTTGTGTCACACTTTTGGCATTATGTGTCTCATGTGTGTTGTTTACTTCTCACTCTGTTTTATTTTGTGATTTTTTTGTCTATTTCTCTTTGTGACCATTTTGTCTCTTCTGCTGTGTCTCATTGTTGTCAGTTTGTGTTCATTCTTCTTTTGTGTCTTGTTTGTGTCATGTTGCGTCTCATTTGTGTTGTTTTGTGTGTTGTTCGCAACTTTTTCCCCTCATTTTTCATTTCT